AGAACAACGACCTTCTTTTATTATAAGTTTATTGACTGGACGCTTATGGGTACACATGCATCACATATAAATGTTATATATATATATATATATATATATATGTATGTATATATAAATGCATCTTATTTTATGGCAAATACATCAAATTTATATGTTAATGCAAACTGAAAATTGTTGCTATCGCTCGATACTGACTTATTGCTAAAAAAAAATTGTTCCATATTTAAGATTGATTTTTTTTACTTATCTGTAGAGTTTATTTTCAAATTTATTTTTACTTCTTTTATTCTTATTTTTAAGCGGCGATCAGAACTTAACAGTTACTCGAGCTCTTGTAATGATACTTTTTTTCAACCATGACGCTTTTTAGAAGCCAATCTAATGGTTGGTTTATCTACTGAAGAGATATTAATTACTGGTTCTCTTCTTGATATGTAAAAACAAACACTTTTTAAGATTTATAGATTTTATTTTAAATTATAACTTAAAGGATTAAGTGTTGATATTTTAGTCTGTACTTGTTGGCGATTCAATCATGACTCCCGCTCCATAATAATCAGTTTACCTGATTCGACCCTTATTGTCGGATAAGGGTCGATTTATAAAAGTTTTATATAAATGGTACCAACATACAAGATAAATTACAAACTTATCTTAATGAAAATGTGATAAACATGAAGTATTATAATACATAATTAGATCTTAACACTACATTTGATATATTTTATATATTTTTTTTTAGATTTTATCTAGTATTGACAATATATATTTTAATTTAATGCAGAAATGTCGTAGAGTTGCTTATTTTACTGGGAGACAATTTGTTGTTCTATATTTCCAAGTTAAAATGGATATCACTACTGCTTGACATCAGATGCGAGATGAAACCGGGTCTCTAATGCTTTATATTTAACCGTATTAATGCATATGATTAATGGTAAAAATATACATAAATTGAAATTCTAGGAATTGTGTAGAATATTCTATAAAACATATTAAATTATATATGTAATTATATATAAATAATCATATTCACATAATTATAAATATTAAAAAATATGGCAAATATAAAAACAATTTTTGACTTTAAAATAATTACAAAAATAATAAACCGTATTTTGAAAGTGATAAAACTGCCAATATTACATTATTACCAAATCTTAAGAATATGCTTTATTTATTATTTTATGAAATAAATGTAATATATGTATATAAGATAAGATGAACAAAATAGGAAAGAATATGGCTATTATATTGTGAGGCCAAAAAATATGCCACGTCAATATAAAGGTCTAATTCTAAATTAGTATTGGTTATATAAGGTTGCCATAAAGTTGCTTAATAGATTTAAAAAAAATTATATAAATTGTATAAATTTGTATGAATTGAATGTTGGCAAATGTATTTTTATTTAACAATCAATAACCTCTGCTCAATAATGCTCAACATCAATAAAAATATCTTAAACTTTATAAAAAATTTGTTCTAAAATCCATATGTTTCGGCTAGAGTCATGATTATCTCTTTGTGGAAGAATGCTATGGCAGAATGTGTTCATAAAAAAGTTTTAAAAATTACAAAATAAGTAGTTAAACGTACTTACAATTTGTTCTAATATGTTTTAAAAATAAACTTCTAGACAATACATGTTTTTTGTTAACATTTTGCCTCAATTCAGCTCAACATATTTAATTCTAATGTCGAATTGTGTGTGAAATTAATTTTAATGTGGAATTGTGTGATTTTATTGATGCACTTGATTTAACGTTATTATTTAATTTTTTTTATTACTTTATTTAAATGTAGTTGTGCCTTGTTTTTATATCGTTATGAAACTGCCAAAGCTAATGTCGATATTATTATACCGTTTTATCGCCATATCTATTTCGAGATAAATATGGTGTGACTATTTTTTTATTGTTTGCATATAGAGAATGATTCACCTGAACTTCTATGACATTGTACATCTAAATATATCAACATGTATCTCATATACATACATCATTTTATACCGCTAATAAAGTATAATAATATTTTAATTACACTACACGGGTATGTTATTTTTAGAGTTTGTTTTTTATATAGTCTCGTTAGAGTCTTGTTTTTGTTTTGTGGAATGTTTATCATAAAAAATACATTTTAAAAATGTCATTCGGAATATATTTTTATGAGCCTAAATAGTCCAAATTTTAGTAGAGCATTGAAGGAAACGAAACATTTTTACCGGAATTTTCATTTTCATTCCTTAACCACATACTAACATAGAGCTGAATGATGTTACATTGAAAATATCAATACATCTGCAATATGAGATATTAGAACTTAAATTAAAAATAGAGTCAAATCGATAATTCGCCATTAGACGAATTTTATATAGGTATATTTTTATTTTAATAAATTATTATTAGCATGGAACCCTAAGCTGTTGTTTTTTTTAATATCGCGAATAATTTTTAATTATTGCTCTTTATTGACTACTCGTCTCTCATTTATTCATCACTAATTCTTCATTTTATATCAAAATTATGCTTAATATTTTGTGACTGCATATTTTACATAACTATGCTTCATTTAACTTTTTCTGAATTTTTCTGTGAGCTTATCTTCATTATTAGCTGATTTTGCTCATCATTCAAGCAGTATTAAAAATTGTCGAAAATGTTAATAAAAAGTTGAAAAACTAACCCTACGATTGAACAGATATTGTCAAAAAATAGGTAACACATTTATATTATAAACTACAGTAATAAATATGTTATAAATAAATATATGTTGATAAACAATAATTAGAAATTGAACCGGCAACTTGTCTTATCAGTGGACCTTAGTTCTGGTTTAAGTTTTTTTTCCTTAATCTAATTTCTGGCTGGAAGCCAGAAGTTTTCCTAATGATCAATAATAAAGTTTTCCAAGAGCATACTTTTCATGGTCGACAGCGGGCTGATAATGAAAATAATTTAAAAATGATAGATACATAATTTTATTACCTAAATTAGTTTATGATTTTATTAATTGAATAAAAGTAATAGATTACACTTTGCAATTAATCTAATTCAAGTAATCAGGAGCCATTGGCATTGCTAGCAATAATAAACCTTTATCTTGTATTCGAAAGTCTGTAATAACTTTGTCAGTTGGTTTGAGATAAGATAACATAAAAACACAACAGAGTAATAATTGTATTTGCCAAAATTGCTTGTTTTGATTTTTGAGATACTTCGTGGCTCTGTGAAAAGTGCTTTGGCCTTGCACAAGGATCTAGGTTTGATACCCACCTCAGACAGCTCGATGCAAAGCTCTTCCTCTAAATGGTATTAATATCATTAGAAGGAGGAAAACTTTAAAGAATTTCTAAATTAGTTAGTTGAAAATTCTGTTGGCAATATTTGGAATTCAGCAAAGTACCTATCAATATATTTTTTTCAATGATATTTGTATATAATTACTTATATTTTTCCAAACAAACATGGTTTAGATTGATCTCAAAAGGTGATACACAAATCCAGAAACAACTCAATAAAAGCAAAATTCTTTGTTTAAATATTAAAAGTGAAAACTTATTCATAATGGTGCAGATGCCATTAGAAAAGATTTTTTTTCAAACCTTATGAACAATCTAAAAAATTATAAAATCATAAAACTGTTTTGTTATATTAATTTTTTCTCTATAATTTTATGCCTTTAGTATTACATTATTAACTTAATTTATATTATGTGTGCATATTATCTGTTTTTCATGAGTATATCAGAGGGTCAATGGCATTGCTTTTGTACATAATAGTCGACAAATAAACTAAAAATGTTTGTAAAGTCGACTTTATCTGTTATACTCCGATAACAGTAAATTATTCGAAATCAGCGAAAGCTAACTAATTTGCATTAACATTATACAAAAATTTGAAATATTATATTCAAAATCGGAAGGTCTGTCCCATTGTTCAGTGATAAAAACCCTGGCTTGGCAACTTTAAGTTTATAGGTTCAATTCCGCTTTGGACAACATGATATCAAGCAGTAGTAGTAACCGTTGACGCTTTCTTATGAAAATAGCTTTTCGGGGCTTTGCTGTTAAAAATATGACCAAAAATATAAATAAATATTACAATCAAAATGGAACCTTGGTTCAGAATAGGAATCTTGGTTCTGCAAATACAAGTTTATAGGTTCAATTAGGTTTCAGACAACTTGATATCAAGCAGTAGTAATATCCGTTGACACTTTCAAATGAAATTAGCTTTTTGGAGCTTTGCTGTTAAAAATATGACCAGAAATATAAGTAAATAAATATCACAATCAAAATGGAACCTTGGTTCAGAATAAGAATCTTGGTTTTGCAACTTAGGCTTTAGACAACTTGATATCAAGCAGTAGTAATATCCGTTGACACTTTCAAATTAAATGAGCTCTTTGGGACTTTGCTGTTAAAAATATGACCAGAAATATAAATAAATAAATATCACAATTAGAATGGAACCTTGGTTCAGAATAAGAGCCTTGGTTTTGCAAATACAAGTTTATAGGTTCAATTAGGCTTCAGACAACTTGATATTAAGCAGTAGTAATATCTGTTAACACTTTCACATGAAAATAGCTTTTTAGGACTTTGCTGTTAAAAATATGACTAGAAATATAAATAAATTATCACAATCAGAAAGGAAAAATATTGATTTGGTTACCTTTTATTGGCGCCTGAAATTATTAATTAATAAATAATAACTATTATGGGTTAAGGATTTTTATGACGCTTCTAGGATTTCATATAATTAATGTGCTGAATTACATTTGCTTATTATTTAAAAAATAACTGTAGATATATAAATAATATAGGATCTTTTTTAAAATACAGTGTAGACATTGGTATGATAATACAATTGCAGTAATTATTGCAAACGCTGTTTATATAAAGATAAATAGAGCTGACATTTTACCAATTCGTATGGTGAAATACTATAAATATTTACTTACTTGTACTAATTTTATTAATCTTTATCTTTTTTCAGATCAATGCCCTGAACGATTCGCACCAGCAAATGATGGTCCACTGGGTCGGCGAGTCGAGTGATGTGATAATTTGCTTGTCTCGGGATTCAACGGCGTCCAAAATTCAAGAGAAACTTGGTGGCAACCAGTCAAAATTGGTACCTCCTTCCTCGTCGGTTTATATTTCTTATGACTATGGCGACACTTTCGTCAATAAAACTTCAATGTTTGCTTTGGTCAACGGATCGATTGCTTCGATGGACAAATATTACACACATCCTAAGTTCAATGCATATGTGAGTAAAAACAAAATTATAATAGTAATAAAAACTAACAGTAATAATGATATACTAAAATTCTACAATATGACAAAAATTCCTGGACAAATTCGATGATATCAAATTTTTGGATACTTTTGGACAAATACTTTTGGACTTGTAGATAACTTATTGGATTTTTTGTGGAAAATTATTAACTTCAAACGTTAATTACAATATAATAATTATTCATGTTTTATACTTTGTTCATTTATATACAGATTATAACAAAATTTGTGTAAGTTGCAGGCTTTTTAGAATTTTGTGGTTAATGCATAAAAATCACATGGATGAGTAATGTGAACTTACATTTCAAGCATAACTTATGTTTATTTATTTGAGTTTTTGGAATATATTTGGTAACATTTTTAAAAATATTCTGTTAAACCTTTGCTGATATATTAATAATTCCACCTTTCAAAGAATAATTACAACAATACAACAATATTATAAGAATAATATTATATTATTCACTATATTATTTTTCTTCAATACAAGTATCATTATATTATTACACTTTGATATGGATTACATCAGAATTTTTGTTTATGAACAAAATTATATAAAAGTAGCATCAACAAAGTATTTTTGGAATTTGCAGAAAATAGCGTTTTTTTTTTAAAAAAAATATTAACTCACATTGTAGAGTAGGTAAGAAGACGAAAAATTGAGTTACTTCATATTAAACACTTTTAAATGTTGATGATGGAAATTTTGTAGGAATTAAAAACTTTCATTATAAGAGTAACTTGTGCAAGCTCAATTTTTTTTAATATTATTTAGAGTGCCTAAAATTTTAAGCTACCACGATTTTGTAAAAAATCTAATTATTCAAGCAACCATTTTTGAACAAGAAACGTAATACGTCTCCTGAATTTAAAACCTGAATTTTATGCAGAAGCTTTATAATACAATATTTTAAAATTTGTCACTAACATAAGATAAGATAAACTTTCATAATTGATTTATTATTCATTACTTGTTACTAATAGTAAACAATATTAATATTTTTATTTTTATATTTCTTTTACTGCACTTACTTAGTATATAAGTTAAACCCTGTTATCATTATTTATTGTGTTTCGATTTGCAAATTTATTATTGGATTTACGAGCTACAAAGTCGTAATATTTGCCTTATCTAATCTTTTTATATATGCGATTATTTTTATCAATATGCATAACAAATTTGGTTTAATTGTAGACGATTCGAGACATAATGTGTGCTTTTTTTAATAGAATTTAAAACTTTTTATTTTAGATCAGTTTGAGATAAAGCTTTGTCTGAAAACTTGAGTAGCTTCAAAAGCATAATGAAAATATTTAAATAGGGTTTTTTGCTTTTTTATTTGTTCCATGAAATAATACTAGATAAACTATAGAAAATACTTTATTATTCAAAACGATTTCTTAAGAAATCGTTTTTAGCATTATAAATCTATAGATATTGTGCTATTATTGTTTTCTACTAAAAAGGGTGTGTATTTTCTTTTACTTTTTTAAATCTATGAATCATATAGAAATTGCCGAGCCATTTGTTATAAAAAATAAGATAACCATTGGAACAATAAATATTTGTAGTCTTATAATAAAAATTATATACAGCAATTACACCTACAGAATGAAATTTAAGCACGTCATATTGTTCCTTCAGAAAGCATATGCTTTTTTTTAAATGTATCAATTTTTTTAAATTTTTATTTATAATTATGGAATACGAATTATTCATGGCTTAGTGGTTAAAACTATGAGCTTCTATTCAGAAGTTTCAGATTCGACACTTAATTCGGCAGCCTTATGTCAAGTAGTAGAGACATTGGTTTTTACTTGATAATATAGGCTGCAATATGTTTCTAAAAATTTCCTTCCCACTGCATTGCTGCATCCAATGAAATTAAGAAGTATTAAAATTGCTAATTATAAATTTAGTTTTTAAGGTGTTTTTTAGAGTATAAGCTCAAGACTTCTTTGGTCATATTTTGTTTCATGATATATAAATGTTTTTATCTTATTAATAATTAAAAGCATATTAGTTGGAAATTGAATATTTTTTTAAATCTTATGTGTTATAAATTGTAATTTATATCACATTTCTTTGACTCATAAATCCAGTGGTTTCCAAACTTTTTTGCGCCCCCTGCTCTAATAAAAAAATGTTGGGACTTCCTTAATTTTTTCAGCAATTTAATTCTATACATACTCAACTGATATCATCAGACTACAAATTAATATGCAATACTACGTTACAATATGCATAAAAACTATTTTTTTTTATTTCTCAATATCATTTAAAAAATTTGGGGCCCACAGGTTGGGAACCTCTGCATTAATTTTTTAGTAGTCAAATGTCTCTTGTTCATATTTGCTTATATTTGTTCCCATTATCTTACCATATGATTCAAACATCAGTTAATTCTTTCTCTTAATGGCTTTGCCTTATCGTGCAGATATAATTTGTTTATTTGGATTATTATATATAGGATACAAAGTCCTTCTGCCTTCTTAGAATGATATTGATAAATTCAATAGGCGTTGTGTTTGTTTTTTATGGAGATAAATCTGTGCATAAACTATTGGGTATTTATCAGTTTAGCAATAAATAGTTTAGTAATAATATAACATTAGATAAGAATATTTTGGGAACGAATTTTTCTTGGAATTAACTATGTGAAATTTGCCAATGTAATATTACATATTAGATAATTTATATTTAGTTTATGAATAGTATTGAAAATAAATTACTATTGGAGGTAACTAAGAATAAGTGCAACTCATCAGAACAATATACTAATTTAAAAAATTGTAATTAATATTTAGTTTATGAAATAAGTATTGGAAGAGTATTTTTTCGGATTTGGCTATATTCTGTGATGTTATGGTTTTTAGGTAATTCTTTGATGTTGATTCCGAAAAAATCGCAGAACTTTGCTAACAGCTATAGTTTTTGATATAAATACCAATGTGCTAGGTTTACCCCAAGTTACAATAAAAAATAACGCATATTTTATATGATGCTTTCAAAGGTTCTTTTATATAATTTTCATGTCTAAAAAAGGCCTGATTGATTTCGTCGTAAGGGTGCGTCCATTAATCACATGATCGAGTTTTTAAGAATTTTTTGACCCTCTCCAATCCCCTTGGCGATACATGGTGATTTTCAAACTTACCCCCGTCTCCCACCGAACATTACGTGTATTTTTAGTTACGAGATAAAATCGTATTTTTTTTGAAAATATTGGGATTTAGAAAAAATCAGGTAAAAAATAAATAAACAAAAGTGGATGTCTCCAACAATTGTCAGGCATCATGTGGAAGAAAGTCTTATCATCCTTGATATGGCTTTTCCCAAGTCCTGATATCTTGGTGCATTCTTTTTCCTGCTATTTGACAACATCTCCAAGTCTTTCCAAAAACCGTTCTAAATGAGAGTACTGGCAATGAATTCAAATCCATTACATCAAATACATCAGTTTTTTATCTCTGGTCTCGAAATCCATGACAACATGGTAGGCAGAAGATGCTGATGGTTCTAGGTTGTTCACCATTAGCATGGATAGGGGTCGTGGTCGTAAGTAGACCCCATTACCTTTGGGGTATCGTATTTTATGACCATATGTTTCTATTGCCTAAATTTATTCCATTGATATTTACCACACAGAAGTAACAGTCGTCGATTTCATTATAATGAAATCTTTAATTCTGATTCTTTTTATATAGCCTCTTGATAATGTAAAGTTAATTATTATTAATTAATATATACAAATTGTTTATAGTCCAGTCATTTAAGCTGAATTTAGGTAAGAATCTCGGAATTCGAGATACCCAGCTGTAAGTCTGTAAATACTTGTATTTTGCGCCCTAAAAGTTGTCTCAAAATCTATATAGAAGGGTTTACGCAACATATGTAGGATTTGAGACAACTTTTAGGGTGCAAAATACAAGTATTTACAGACTTACAGCTGGGTATCTCAAATTCCGAGATGAACTTACTATAATGACTATTATTAATAATATTAGAACTGTTACACAAATGTAAAATAAAAATAACTTTTATATTTTAAACCTGTAACATTAGAATAGATAACAATAATTATATTTTTGTCACGTATGACAAATGTAACAAACACTCTGTAACGACTTTGGCGTCGGAATTCATTTAGGTTTAATTTACTTAATACAAAATATTCAAGTAAAAATGTAGGTTTATGTGAAATGTACAGTTATACATGTGCATTGTTTGTTCTAACAATTCAGAGTACGTTAGTTACTTTATAAAAACATTAAATATTATGTATGAAAAAATTATTAAGCTATAGATATTTTGTTCGACATTACATATATTTATTACTAGAATCATTATTGCATCATAGCACATTTCCTTATTTATTTCAAAACATTATTATTAAAATTTAATATTCTTTTTAATGAGTTAAACGTATATTTATTAAATTATAATAGTTTTAGATCTACGCATATCTACTACTAGTTCTATGTAATTGATGGTTTGTCATTTTGTTTTTCCCTCACTTTTAGAAATATAATTGTTTAAATTATACTGACAGATTTTTTAAGATACACAATGCAGATGCGTTTTACAATCTGAATTTATGGTTTTTTAATAACTAATATGTGGATCTTTATATACAGTTAATCAATAGTTGGATAGACTTGGTTCTTAATATAAATATTTGCAGAAATGTTTCATCTTGAGAAAAAATTCAGAAAGATCTAAATGTTACAGATTGCAATGAAAAATATAAATGTGAAAATTATAATGAAATAAATATATTATTTTATACTAACAAGCTAAATAACAAGACGTTAAAAAATAAAAAATTATGTGTTTATTCTTGGAATTAATACAATGGTTTGCAACTTTCCAGTAGAACCCCTGTTCTTTTACAAAAAATTGTTGCGTTTTTTTAATTTTTTTCACAATCTAATTTCACAAATACTTAATTGATATTATTCTTCCTATTATTATTCTATTTTAGTCATTTATCAGACTGCTAATTAATACACAATATTAAATATACCTAAAAATAATTATTTTTTTCATATCACTTCAATATTTCTGCTTTATTTTCAAAAATAGTATTTTGGAATCAGCTTACCCCCTTTGCAAGAGCATTTTCTCCACAGATTGGAAATCACCGTATTAATATATCTATATGAAAAATTAAATAGGATTTTGAAATTTTTTGAAAAGTATTATTTTATGCTTGAATCATTGAAAAGTAAATTATAAGGTAATATATTAATTCAATTTTTCGACGATCAACAATGTATTTTATTTATTTGAGTTTATGAAATACTGTAAACTCATAAATTTATATCCTTACTTTCAATTTTTAAATATGTGCCAAAATTAGCAGCTTATTATTGCAGAAAAGCACATTAAGAGTTTAAAAGTAATTTTTAAAAATCTATATTCTAAATTTGATAAATAATTTGTAATGTGAAATGTCTTATTTGTGATATGTTTTATGATATAGTTGAGACATTTTACTTAGAGTATATGTAAATAACGGTCATACACTGCTCATATGTTAATTTGCGAAAAAATGACGACTGTTTACAATATCGATTTATATTTACATTATAGGGATATGTGTTATATGTATATACAAACACTCACATACACAGACATATATATTAAAATATTTTACATTCCGTTCATCAAATTAAACAAAGTTAATATAGAAATAATTCTTTATACGATTCGACACTTGATGTGTTTCGAAATTTTCAAAACTTTTTCGAAATTTGCCAATCTGGAGCATCCTTTTGTCGTATATTATAATCTAGCTTGCTATAATCCTACCTAGATTTGTCAAACCCAGATCTTGATTTAAACTTACTTGTTTAATAATATATTATTCTAAAATGTTAGTTTGATATTAATTTATTTTTTTTAGTTCGTTTTCCGTGATCTCTACTACAAGGTGTTGTTTGTGACGAGGGACATGGCTGGAACTTTCATCAGGCGGGACATCCCATTTACACCTTCCGATTTGTATTTCCATCCCGAAGACCCGGAAACATTTTTGGTGCACGACGAAGTTGATGAACAGAAAACGGTAAGATTTTATAGATACAATTATAATAGATATAAATGATAAAATTCGATACAATATTTATACAAATGCACTATGTTTTGATAAACGTTTTTCGAAACCAATCAAGATCTTCTTTGCTGTTTGTTTGTCTGTAAAATTGATAATCAATTGCTTATATTACCTGCAGTAAGATTTTATAAAAATGTTTTGAATTTTGTGTATTTTAATCCAGCTTACTGAAAAATATTTATTTTTACAATTTTTATCGAATAAAATCATTAACAAAATTTAATGATATGACTTATAATTAGTTAATGATAATAGGGTACGTTACATATTGTACAGCATTAATAAAAATGTATTTTAAATATTTATCATTAGAATGAGAATATTTATTAAAATGTTTTTTATATTTTAGTTGTACATAACGAGAAATTTTGGAGAAACATTTACACCCCTACAGAAGTATGTGAAGTCATTTGCATGGTCTTCAGGTTCTTCATCTGATGCATCAAATTATTCAGGTGGATCCAGGTAATAAGTTTATAAGTTTTTATATTTTTGTTTCTAGAACGTAGCATTTTCTCAACATTTTTCTGTTTTTTTTTTTTTCAGTAATATTTTATATAGAATGTATCATTTTTTCAAACAATTTGCTATGTTTCTCTCAACTATATTTTAACATTTTATTGCAGTAAATATAAATTTCAGAAACTTATTGGCACAAAAATATAAATAATATTTTTATGTTTTAAGATTTTTTATAAATCAAATAATATCAACTTTGTCAACAGCATAAGTCTCTTAATTTTGTTGCTTTCTTATGTGTCAAAATTTTATTTTGGATATTGTTTCGTTATCATAATTATATTGTAAATATTTGAATACAAAAACGAGTATCTTTCAAATACTTCACATACCATTTTATGATGTTAATTCTGAACCATTTATGAAATATTTTAATCACATTGCTGAAACTATACTTTACTGCTAAATTTAGTATTTACATATTTATTTTTCTATATGGAAAAAGGTTAGACCTACTAATATAGTGCTTACTCTTAAAGTTCTTAGCAGTATAACTATTCTAAAATATACGGTCACTAAACAATTAACTCAAATATTCAAAAACTTAAATTTTTTACGATAACACAAAGAAGTAAGCATACATTTTCAGTGTTCATTTTTATAATTTCAGAATGACTTCTCCTTTGCCTTTGCTATTATATATTGAAAGAGCAGAACCAACGGACACAAGTACTGTTCTTACTGTGACCGCATTATCCCAGACAAATGTGTTGATTGGCAATGTCCAAGATTTCTTAGTTAGAGGAGACTTTATGTTCGCCACCAGGAAAAACAACAAGGTACAATATTTAATAAAACTATCATTTCAAACCAATGTTTGGAACTTAAACATAATACTATTTTTTTCCAGAACAATCTAGAACTACTGATTTCATATCGAAGAGCCCCTTTGTAGTAGCTCATTTTTCATCAGAATTGAGCTTTCTAGCCATCCATGTGGCTGATGTGACAGATAGAAGACTGATGGTAGTGGGTGTTCATGGTGACACTGTAGCTCATCTCTATGTTTCTGAGAGCAATGAAGATTTCTCTAGAATTAATTTTGTTTTAAGCTTAGAAGGCATTTTGTGTCATGTTCCAAATAGTACGTGGACTGACACCTGGCTGAGGTAAGATAATTAAACAAATATACAAATTTCTTTATAAGAACAACATATTATAGTATAAAGTTTGTTTTTTTACAAAAAATATTAGTCTATATGTGTATGTATATTGCTATAACACATGTCATAGGTGGATATGAAGAATTTTTTTTACAAAAAATATTATTCTATATGTGTATGTATATAGATATACACAATTCATTGATATGAAGACATTAAAGTCTTGCTAAAATTTTTCTTGTTGTCCATTTAGGATACATATAAAAAACTTTAATATTGATCAATCATATACTGTTTTTTACAATTAAGATATATGTATTATATCATCATTAATAAGTAATATAATTTTAATTTATGTCTTATTTTCCAGTGATATTGCAGAAGAATCATTTGCTGACTTATACCGTGTTGAGGGTCTTCTTGGAGTCTATATTGCGTCCCGCGTTCTTTCTACTTCTACATTCAATAACAATGCCACCAGTAGAGGCAGAACTCAACCAGTTATATCACCAGAACATTTATCCAGTGTGATAACCTTCGATCATGGTGCCACTTGGCGACCGATTTCTCCACCGCGACGAGATGACGATGGACATCCAATCAAATGCGACACCAACCTGGGATGCTCATTGCATTTGACTCAGAAATTCAGTCAGTTGTATCCTGTTACTAGATCGGTAATAAAGAAATCAAATTACAATATATATGTATGATTTATTTCAAGGGTTTTCTGTAGATTACTTTTTTTTATAGAGTGCACTAACTTGCTTCTATTTTTATTTTATCTATTGCAGGTTACAATACTCAGTTCCAAGTCCGCACCCGGCATCATTCTCGCCGCTGGTGTTATCGGACGCTCTTTAAAAGGTCATCCTGGTGTATTTTTAAGTCGAGATGGCGGCCTTACATGGAAGCAAATTCTAAAAGACTATTATTTCTTCAATTTCGGTGACCACGGTGGCGTTTTAGTCGCCGTGAAGTATTTTAAGACGAGAGGCGAAACGAAACGTCTTTTATATTCTACTGATGAAGGTGATACTTGGAAGAGTGTCGATTTCCATTCAAAGGATTTGAGAATTTACGGTTTGATGACGGAACCAGGGGAGAATACTACTGTTTTCACTATGTTTGGTTCAAGCCCTGGTCTACATCAATGGCAAATTATAAAGGTAATAAAATTTTAGAAAAAAATACCTTGATCATATTTAATAATATAAAACGTTTATTAAGAAATTGACATTACATATTTCAATATTATCTCTTTCTTCTTAGGTTGATTTGGCAGCCGCTTTCGACCGTATGTGCACGCCGGAAGATTACAAATTTTGGGCCCAGGAGGCCTTTCTGGTGTTTCAGAAATGGCATGTTCTATGGGATCCAAATCAACGATACTTATCAACGGAGGATTCCAAGGGCTAATTGCTATAATGGCAAAGATTACTCTAGACCAGTTAATAAAGAAGTTTGCGAATGCGGAGCTCACGATTTTGAATGTT